GAAGCTTAGGAGTGAGTGCACGAAGTGGTTATAAAAGGCTCTCTACCCCCCAAGAACAAGGTATGTGAACTTTGCGCCATCTGGTTTTATCTTGCTTTTGAGGAAATACTAACTTGAGCTTCGGAGCATACTCACCGGGTTCTTCCCCGGAGGTTACTCTCTTTCCCTTCGTTTTAGGCACCTTCTGCTCTAGCCCGAGGCAAGATCTTTGACAGCTAGGACCCGCCGGATTGCGCACCATCACTAAGCATGGATGTCAATCATGTTTAGCTTGCCAAGAAAGTCCACGAATTTTGCTGCCACCAACCCTTTAGTCAGTACATCTGCAATTTGCATCTCAGATGGAGTATAAGGAATGCAGAGTTCTCCCGAGACTATTCTCTCTCTAACAAAATGTCGATCAATCTCAATATGTTTTGTCCTGTCATRTTGCACAGGGTTATTTGCAATGTTGATGGCCGCCTTGTTGTCACAATACAGTTTGAGAGGACCCTCAACTTTAATGCCAAGCTCATTTAGAAGAGTCCTGAGCCATAGGAGTTCAGCAACCCCGTGAGCCATAGCTCGATATTCAGCTTCCGCACTTGATCTAGCAACAACATTCTGCTTCTTACTGCGCCATGTAACCAGGTTCCCTTCCACAAATGTACAATAACCTGAAGTTGATTTTCTGTCCCCAACAGAACGACCCAATCTCCATCAGTATAAGCTTCAATTTCAATTTTATTGTTTTTTTTCTGAATAGAATTCCCTTTCCTGGGCAAGCCTTCAAGTACCTGAGAATCCTTTCAACTGCTTTCATATAAGGGATCTTTGGAGAGTGCATGAATTGACTGACAACATGCACCGCATAAGCAATATCTGGTCGAGTGAGAGATAAATATATCAGCTTCCCTACCAATTTTTGGTATTGTTAGTAAACCCTAGCAGATTCTAGGTTGAAGTAGAGAAGAAGAAAGAAAAGAGAAAGAAGAAGAAGAAGAAGAAGAAGAAGAAGAAGAAGA